GATATTGGGTTCGACCCTGTCGACGCCGTCGACCCAAAAGGCTTTCCACGTGGTAGTGGACGCACCATGCATTTTGAGCGTTGAAAGACAAGCTCGTCGTCACCGGCACTCTGCCGAGCATTGCTCCGAGGGCATATACTGCTGAGCGGAAGACATCGAGAGCAGGGAGCACTTTGTGCACCAACTGCCTTACGTTGAGAGTTATTGCGCTCTGTCGGAGCGGCTCCTAGCCGTCGAGCAGACGAAACATCAGTTCGTGCGACGATGAAGCGCCTGGCGTCGCTGATTACAGGATTTGTTATACTCCGTGCTCGGATCTAGCTGCTGGTTCAGCTTTTGGGTGGCCGAGCACCTTTGGGAACCGCCCCGGCGCCAACGCTTCCGCGTTCACTTTCGCCGAATTCCTGTACGATTTAAGCAAGCCCACATATTACACCATGTGAGTGCGCATCCTTCTCGGAAGGTTCGGCGCATACGCAAGGCCTCGCTTGGCGACGATCTTCAAAGGTTTGCATTTAGTAAAACCAGGTTTCCGACCTCAAAGTTCTCCACATTTCTTCTGTTTCTCCCATCTGCATATCCTTTCTGCACGTCTGGCTTTCAGTCGTCACATCGCGAACGTGTCGTTATGCACTCAGTCTGGTAAACAGGAAGTCATCGACTTCTTGCGGACAGTGAGGGGGCTGACATCAGCTTTTTATTTCTCCCCCACCAAGTCCTGAGCCATGATATGGCAGCATCAGCGAAACGCGAGGATTAAAAATCCCGTTCACATAAAACGGCGTGTAGCCGGTAGATGAATGCACTGCATTGTTCAAATGAATCTGTTCGAGCTGCAACATGGCGCTCCAGCGCTTCAACGTCTCAGCGACAACGCTGCGAAGAGCGTCATCAACGACGCGTTTCACGCGCTCAGTCTGACCATCGGTCTGCAGATGGTCCGCTGTTGACATAGGCAACTGGGTGCCCAGCACCCTGCAGATTGTCGACCAAAACTTTCCATTGAAGCGCGGGTCTCTATCAGAGACAATTGGTTCCGGAAGTCCATGCTGTTGTTTTGAAAGACACGACCGACAAACAGCGTCGCCACCGCAAGATGAGCCATCGTACTCAAACGGTCCACAAACACAACCATACCCGGATTGCCCGCCAAGTCCATCGGCGGGCCAAACACAAAGTCCAAACTCATAGATTGCCGACAACCAAAGGGTACCGGTAGATTGGCCAGCAGCGCCGCCGCATTCGAGAAGGGTTGGACCCTCTGACACGTCTCTCACGTGCGCGCATATGTGCTCGCCCATTTGTATAGCTTGGTCCACCAAAAGTGGCAGCGCATCGAGCTTTACGTCTTCTCACGACCGAGATGACCACAAAGTGGGGTGTCGTGGGTCTCATAGAGATCTCAAATCCTAATCGTGAGGAACCACAACTCATGGCGTACCCGTTGAATCGATACTATAATACAGTAAACCGTTATTCAGCGGATATCGGTGAGACAGTGCGCTCAAACGCGCCGACAATTTCTTGTCCGAGTTTCCAAACTCCTTGCTCCCGAGAGCCTGTAGCAGCGCGGGTCCAATACGTCACTGATGACGTCACCATCGTGATATGAATAGGCTCATAGTTAAATCTGCGTGACAATGCATCAGCCAGCGAATTCTGCTTTCCTGGCTTAAACGTCACCTCAAAGTTAATTTCTGCAAAGAATGAGAGCCATCTGGCCATCTTTTGCGAGACGTGAGACGGCTAAGTCGCAGTGCGTAATGACGCATGATCTGTGTAGATCACAAACGGTTTTGAGCCAAGCAGGTGCACCCTGACTTGACCAGTGCCTACTTCATCACAAGTAATTCCTTGTCGTGGGTTGGGTAGTTCCTCTCCGCAGCCTTAAACTGGCGAGATTTGAGCAGATTTGACAATGGCCGTGCCATTTCCGCATAATCTGCACTATACTTGTGCAAGTTGTAATGAGGCCAAGCCACTTGCGCGATACCTTTTGGTTCTTTGGAATCGGCCAGTCCCCAATGGCCTTGATCGTAACGGAATCCGCTCGAAACCACGCTGCCCAATATAGCACCCTATGTAGGGGATTTTTCTGCGCCGATGATGCGCTCATTGGCATTAGCATACAGCTTATTCGTGTGCATACACTCGAGCACCGCCCTCAAATGGACGATGTGGTTTTTCACCTCTCCCCCCCGTGTTCCGCTCGACTGTGGACGAAGATGTCGTCGAGGTTTGTCTGTGCATACGCCCGGTGGGACTTGAACAATTGCGACGTAAAACGATTAAATGTTGCCAATGCATTTGACAGCCCTTGAAGCATCACCAGCCACACCCAGAGCATCCCGCTCGGATTTCTCACCGCTGTCAGCGGAATATCGCTCGCTCTCGTGAGCAATTGGTTATCAGCATCGACCAAGTCGAGTGCGCTGTACTTTGTTCCGCCAACCATATTGTTTCGGAGAACATCCTTTCTAAATGTCGGTGTCTGTGCTGATATGATGGCAGCATTTAGCTTATTGTCAGCGTTAGCAATACGCCACTTGCTGATCGGCTTTCGGACACAAAACGTGGGTGTCGAATGGGGAGACTTACTCTCATACACTGTGCTTCGCATGGAAAAAGGCGGCAATGCCGTCGCACTGCTCCTTGGGCAAGGGTCAATGGCGTATTCCGCACTATATGGTTACCGGAACCAGGTCGATCTCATGACGCACACCTCGGTCAAGAGGTTGGACCGACGTCTTGATATTCCTTCAACAGAGGGTACTACGTATCCGAGGGATCCTTCAGGATCGACAATCCATTTCGTGCGTTCAGCACACCCTTAGTGTCCTCCAGGACAGCTTCATCCAGAAGCGACGACGAATTTATCTCATCGTTCCTGCATATAATGACTACCTCGGCTTAATTGCCTGCCTTCAAGGCATCGTCAAACTTCTCGAAGGACATCTCGCCTATTCAGGAAGAGCATCCACCGCAGGGTCGACGCCCTGCGTCTTGCGGGTAATATACTCTCCTCTCTTTAGAGGTTTCATGACTCATCGAGACCACTGAAAACACATACTCGGCGTCGTCCAGTTATCCCACTCCCTGTTCCATCAACGCCTTGATGTTATCAACTACATCCGATGAAGAGCTGCTACTTCCGCAGTCTTCGTCCAGTGGATAGCGTGCATCACAAGAATCTTGCCCAAGGCGCCTCGAACCTCGTCCGACAATGCCATTCTTGGCATGCAGCAACTGCTTCAAAACGTGAGCAATGCTCAGTGAGTTAAGTGTCACTTCACGTGCATTACTGGGGCCTCGCCCTCGATGCCTCGGACCTCGTCCAACCATGTCAGTCTTTACATGCAGCAACCGCTATGATACTTGAGCAGTGCTCAGTGAATTACGTGCCACTCCACGTTCAGCCCGCCAGCCATGCTCGGAACTCCTGACGGATACACCTTCGGTGTTCGACAGCTCGGATACTCCGATATCCAGCACATTGAAGGTCCTGGTCCAGTGTCCGCGCCAATAGCGCTTCTGCTTCCTATCAGAAATGGGTTCATGACTAACAAAAGCTCCAACCAAGGATAAGGTTATATCTAGAATCCAAGTTAAAGACTAAGCAGTGTTTCACGCTATGAAAGTCAAGAAACTTGACACCGAGGTCCACAGAGACCCTCGGCACAGGGACACAAGTCCCTGTTACCATGCAAACAGTGACGGTGTCACTCAACCGCGCTTTAAGCACCTCAGCATACAGCTCGTTTCCTTCGATCGTTGAGCGTCGAGCATAATTGCTCAACGCCCCGGAATCTATAAGGATCTTCCATGGCTTATCAAAGCTATTCAAAGTCGCCTTGATCACCAGCAAGCCTGGTTTGTATTCACGTTCCGTGTTCAAGAGCACGGAGCTCTTCGGGGCTGGGCCCTGCTGACCACTACCTTCTTGAGGCTCTACAAAACAGATTTCTTTTTCAGTAGACTGCACCACGCCTGCTTGTTGTCGTTTCCACGCGACAAACCAGACCGGTTAGTAGCGGGACGTCGATCTGACGACCCTTTACGCACCTTGCACAGGAGATAACCAGTCCGAAGTTAACGGGTGTCTCCACGGACAAAAATCGTCGGGTTTCCAGACGCTGTTTGACAGCTTGGAGCTCTTTCTCCTCTTTTTCAGCAAAGCCGAGGTCAATTGGCTCAGGCCTGCTCTTCGTGCTCTGAAGGTGTGTATTCTAACCAAGTTGTACCGACTTGAAGTTAAATACGGCATTCAATGCCGCATTCACCGCTTCTTCGAAGAAGACGGATGCACACGGAAGACTTCCATTTTGGCTCGCCGATGCGGAGGCCCTCCATAAAGATGGTCTCTGCGACCGCCTCGAAGAGAGGATCGGCTGCCATCCCGACAATGAGAGTGCGCAAGTCTGGGACAAGTCCATCAACTCCTTCATGCCTTGCCGGGCAGCAAGGAAACGTGATCGCACGCGATACGCCTGAATAGGCGGCGAGATACTCGCAAAAGCTGACGCTTCAGCTCTTTCCAGAGGAGGAGAGCGCAGCTTCAACCGAAGGATCGCGCGTTCGTGCCCATTATAGTGCTTGGCCCCAAGCTTAGAGATAGCTTGCGCCACGCGATGTACCTCGTTCTGGAGCATGGCTGATGCCATTGCCATCTCGGCCTCTCTTACTCAGAGAAGGAGATTCTCTCCATCCTTACCCTCGAAGATCTTAACGCTCACCATGAGTCATCCATCGTCGATGGTGGTGTCATGGACGCTGTCGACGCTGACAGCTTCTTCTCTAGGTGCTCTAACACAGCATTTTTATAGCTCAAAAACGCCTCTAGGCGCGCGGCCCTTGCAAAAACAAGGCTCCACGCCCTCAGGGCTATTATTAAGTACGTCCAGCATGCCTTGGGACAAATAGGAGTATTGCTCCATCCTCACAGAGGGTCAGTCAAAATGACTCAGGCTTAGATTGACTACAGTTCTACCAAGTGCAGCTGGGCAGCCGTTGCTTTTTGCTTAGAGGAAGCCAAGCTAAGGTCACCGACCTTACTTTTTTACAAGAACCAGTACGAGAGCAGCGGATCGCAATCCTCTACTTCTAAGTATTAAAGCCTTACCGAGACAGACGAACACTTCTGTTTAAAAACGAAACCGCATTTTATTGTTTCAGTTTCGGCAGAGTCGCCAATATCTAAAACCCAAGGTTCTCCTCATTAATATCGAAATATCAAATATCTAAGTCCATCGCGCCATTGATGCGAAATGGGTAAGTCCTGTAGAAGAAAGCTGCGTCGTTTTACCGAAACTTGGTGAGTGGGAGCATTCCACTCAGGATCTATGCTCATTTTGCTCAAATTCTTTGGAGGGTATACTTCACACCGCAAATCAGGCGTTTGTCTGATAGTCTGGTGCCGACCATTTTGAACAATCCGTGGAGCACGGATCTATATTCAAAACCATGACTTCCACCAGGCCATGATGGTGAAGCACTGTGTCGAGGAACGGCGAGGCTGAATCCTTCATTATCGCTGATAGCAGCGAGATGAGCCGTCTTTCTTAGACGGTCCACAAAGACCACGTTACCGGACACGTCTTTCGAAAATCGAATGCAAAGTCTATATTTTGTTGGGAATGCCGGCACTCTACCGACGTTCGCTGGCTAATTATAGATTTTGACGCATGCGGCGAGGTCTTACCTACCAACATGTTTCACACTGCGCCCATATGTGCTTACCCACCCATACATGTTGACCCGCCAATACATATCGCACAACGAGAGTATGTTTTTTCTCTTTCGAAGTGGCCACCCTTAGGGGTGTACGATAATCTGTACTTAATGCCTTTATCATGAGGCACAAGTACAATTGCTATCATACAGCATCCTATGGATAAGGCATGATTATGCAATGACTTATTTCGACTCGTACCACGGAAATGGTACCTTATCTTGATAGATGTCAGGATACTTCTGGTAACTGACGAAAATATGGATGCATGGGGCAGCCAAAACGCGGCTTCTGACGCACAACTAGACGGAAATGAGGAAAATTGGGAAGCTGCCGAAAGTGGAAAGGATGCGCTTATTGTGCTGTTAGACGTGCGCGAAGCAATGTTTTTCTCATACCCGCATGCGACAGCAAAATCGCCATCCACATGGTTCCACGCTGTTGTAGAGCTTGTGATCAAGCTTCTTAAAATGAAAGTCGTCGCAAACGACAATTCGCTGCTTGGAGTTGTATTTTTTGGAACGGTGAGCGATTGCTATGATTTAAAGTCATTTTGCCGTAAAGTTACTTATTTCTGGTCGCAATGAAGAACAAGCGCGGAGAAGCCGGGACTCTTGAGCAGGTTTACGAATTTCAGTCTTTGGATTATCCGTCTGCTCGGCGTATTAAGGACCTTCAGGTTTGTTCAGATTGCCGTGAATGAATCAGTCGTTCTCACTTTGTTGCTGTGCTTATTTAATGTGCGCTGTAGTCTCTTTTGGTGGCTGATGTGCAGTCGGAGTTTGAGTCTATGCACAACTCGGAAAAGTTGTCATTCAGCAACGCTTTGTGGCAATGTGGAATTTCCTTTTCTAATGCAAAGTACGCAACTTGCTGCTCGTAAAACTTTTAGCTACTTTTCACCTTATCTCTGGAAAACTTGCAGCTTGAAAAAGAAGGACTCTCAGCGTGTTTGGATATTTACAAATGATGACACTCTAGCAGGATCAGACGAGGAGGAAATCAAGCGATCTCAAAAACAGATGCAGGTATCATGCGTTTGATGTAATCAGTTTGCCTCCTAATAAAATAATCTACATGGCGACAGAACCACACCGAATTGAATCGCACGCTGAATCTGTTCTTCATAACTCCACCTGGAAAAGAAAACTTTATGCTTTACCGATTCTACGGGTGTTGCTTTAAAGACTTTGCAGCCAATGATCGTGATAGCATTGTCGATAATGATGTATCTTTACAGCCAGCTTTTCCTGTCAGCTCGCTTGATGATTTGATAGATGGATCATTTCGCAAACGTTTTCGCAAACGCCGACTGACAACTTTCTGTTTTCACATCACGAAAGGAGTGTCAATTGGCGTGGAGCTATACGCGCTTGTAGTTGTCCAACGCAAGAACACTCCCCTCGCTCTTGATGCGATCACGAATGCACCTCTCAAAACTGAGACGAAATGGCTTTGCGAAGACACTGGAGCTTACCTTACCCCAGATCAGATTAAGAAGTACATAGACTACGGCGGCAAGCGCGTATATTTTACTCGAGATGATGTGGTAGAGATTAAACATTACGACGCTCCAGGGCTTCAGCTCATCTGTTTCAAGCCATTAAAATCTCTCAAATGGAATGAAAATATTCGCTCACCATATTTCATATACCCTTGCGACGGCTACATCGAAGGAAGTTCTGTTGCCTTCATGGCTTTACTCACTTCGATGGTTCGAAAAAAGAAATTTGCGTTAGCAAGACTTATTGCACGAAAAACCAGCGAACCTCGACTTGTTGCGCTTGTTCCTCAAGAAGAAGAAAATGATGAGATGGGTCAGGTGCGACCGTCAGGATTTAACATTATTTTTTTGCCGTACTTGGATGACATTCGTGACATAGACATTTCGAACGGTCGAGTGATATATGGTGAGTTTTTCGATTAATTAGTCGTATAGATTCAAAAGTGATGTGATGACAAAGTCGAACAGGAAAAGATCGATGCGGCAAAAAATTTGATCTTGAAGCTTCAGCTGACGGAAACTCCGAGCTTTGAAAATCCAGGTGTGTTTCGTGAATGTCTATTTGTTTCTTTAAGAGGAAGTGTTGAAGTACGCATTTGAAAAGTCAATGACATGACACAACCTTGATGTTGTAGAACTTCAAAAGCATTACGCTGCTATCCAAGCTCTCGCACTGGACGAGGAAGTACTTGAGTTCGATGAAAAGAAAGACACTACCCTTCCCGATGCAGAGGGCTTCGGTCAAGACGACGTCAAGGTACGAAGAGGAATGCTTGTTTGTCATATTCAGACTCATCAAGTCCAATGTTTGCGAATACTATTCTTCAGAGTGCAATTACTAGGTTTCGAGACGCGTGCGGTGGTGAATCCATCGACGCGTCTAATTCCACAAAGCGCAAGGTCAGTTTAAGCTATGTGTTTGATTAATTACCATGCCTACATTACTTATATCCTCGTTATCTAGACAAACGCCACCAGCCGCAACGTGTCTGCTAAGAAATTGGGGAAAACGAAGGTAGGCTCTGGGAAGCAGCGAAATGCGGAAACAACATTCAGCAAAAGTGAATGGGCCACTTTACTTGCATCTGATGCCATTCAGAAAAAGACTGTCGCTCAGTTAAAGGAATTTTTACGTGCACACAGCCAAAAAGCTGTCGGACGAAAGGCAGAGCTGATCGAGGCCATCAAGTGCTTTTTGGAGGCATAGCTCGCAGCTACTAATGAATAATATCACTTTGCGTTATTTTGACCAATACTGATGGTAAAACAAAATCACTGTACTCACAACAAAAGCATGAATTTCCTGAAGACGTTAGGGGGCTTAGTGGGCTCAAGTACCACCGGCGGCCTGCCGTACTCAATAGATACACCATCCGTGGATGGTAACGTGGCAGCAGGTGGTGATGCGGGAGAATGTGTTGTGTTTGAAGGATTGCCAGATTTCATTTTGCACTCGGGTAAGAGCAAGCAGGACCCGTCGCATGTTGTATCTATCTTCAAGTCGCGACAGCCAGCAGGACAACTCACATCGAACTCACTGCACCGCATAAAGACTCTGCGTCATCCAAATATTTTAGCATACTTGGACGGCATTGAAGTTCCAAATAACGGGCCCGTTATAATCATCACAGAACACGTAATGCCACTATCTGAGTTCCTAACAGCACTACGCATGGAATACGGCAACAACAGCGAAGAATTTACCATGTGTGTGTCCTGGGGCTTGCGCAGTATTCTCATGGCGCTGCAATTTATCAACGTAGACTGTAAACTCTTGCACGGACGACTAACACCGCAAAGCATTTTTGTCACCAAGGTACTGACTGCTGAGCTGATCACATTTCCTTATCTATCATAACATATGGTTATACTTTCCTTCTAACAGGGTGGAGATTGGAAGCTGGGAGGATTTGAACTTACTGCGGAGAAAACGAATGATGGACCATCGTCTATCTACACGCTTAATCAGCAGTACGTGGACATCAATTACAAGCCACCAGGTATGAATCTACTGTTGCGTAAAAGAGATGATTTGTATGGTAACATGCTATTGGACGAGTATGCAGAATGCCAGCGCTCCGATTGGAAGGCAGTGGCGACAGGGCCAGCCTACGGTGTGGATATGTGGGCATTCGGCTGTCTCATGTACTACATCTTTACCGATGGCCACTTTCGATCGAGTGACAAATTAACAGCAGTAAATTTACCCTCGGCACTTCAGCCACAATTTCGAAAGACAATCGATGAGAACCCTTCCCGAAGACTGAGTCCGCAAATGATGCTAAAAGGAAATTATTTTGATACACCATTTATCAGACGGATGGATTTTCTAGAAAATCTTGCTGTAATGGAATCTGACGAAAAAGTCGCATTTTATAAAGAGCTATGCGCAAACCTGGCTTCAATACCTCGATGCTTCGGTGTACACAAAATTTTACCAGCGTTAAAACAAGTTGTGGAGTTTGGTGCAGCAATTGGTATCAAAAATGGACTTCTGAAGTTAGACCCCTCGGCTAGCCACATGTTACCGGCTATGGTACAGATTGGCAGCTCTTTGTCTACTGAGGAGTTTAAAACACAAATAATTCCAATTCTTCTCAAACTCTTTAGCTGTAGTGATCGAGCCGTTCGAGTCCAACTACTTCAAATGATGGAGAAGTTTGCTGTTCATTTTGACGCAAAACTAGTGAACAGCTCAGTTGTATTCGACAACCTTTGCAGTGGCTTTACTGATGCAGCACCAGTGTTGCGTGAGCTCACTGTCAAATCAATGTTACACATAGCTGATAAGCTGTCTGATAATAATTTGAATAACCGCGTCGTCAAGTATTTCGCAAAGTTGCAGGTGCGCTTGATTATAATGATGCAAAGTTGGTGCTAATTCATTCTCGCTTACTCGACTCATTGATTTTGTCTTCAGTCTGATCCGGAACCAGCCATTCGAACAAATACAACAATTTGTATCGGGAAAATTGCCAGCAAACTCAATGAAACAACGAGACCAAAAGTCTTGTTTCCAGCTTTCGCGAAAGCGCTCAACGATCCGTTTCCTCACGCTCGTCTTGCTGGACTTCGCTCGATGATCGCGTGCCAAGTAAGTAGTATATGATCGTGCAAATTTTACATGCCACGTAGTCTAACGCATTCAATTCTCACCAAAGGAGTACTTTACACCACAAGGGATGGCCGGCAGCGTAATTCCAGCGATTTCACCGCTCCTTCTAGACGTTTCAATCACTGTTCGGGAGCAAGCCAAGACTTCCATTGATATTTTTATCAAAGCTGTAAATAATGAAGCTAATCAAATGAAGGTTCGGGAAGAATTAGAAGCTAAAAAAAGCGAATTGAAGGGCGCTGAACAAGAGAGTGACCACTTGGGTGGTGCTTGTGAAACCACACCGCCTCCATCGAATGGTGGCCACACTTCAGGAAGTTATGCCTCATCTCTTACTGCATGGGCTTCTTCGGCAGTTACGTCAAACGTCAACAAGCTGGTCGGATCTGGCATTTTGTCGTCCGCTCCGACATCTCATACATTTTCCCATCCTGGCAACTTCAGTCAGAATACCAATAACAGCTCCATTCCTCCGTCATCCAGGCAGGACACTCGAAAAGCATTTGCGGCAGATAATGTTTCAGCTGAGAATGGATGGGGTGATAGCAATAGATTGGGTGGTTATGATCGTCCTTACCTGACCACATCAAGATTGAGTGCTTCACAGTCGGTGAACGAAGGAGCTTCGACATCAGTTACCCCAGAAGCGACTTCACTGTCTGCGTCGGCGACATCTTCATCCAAGCTCAATTTTGCATGTAAAACAAGTAGTGGTTCGAATTCGTCTACAACTCGAACAACCTCAACGTTTCTTGATCTTCGTGACTGTGATTGGGAAGATGATAATTGGGGCGGTGACGATGATCTGGATCTGGGTGCGTCGGAGCCCAAATCAAACACTCTTGGCGCGTATCAGCCAAAAGGATCCAGAGACGTTAGTACGTCCACTGTTGCACAAGGAAAAGCGGGGCGAAAGTCAACAAGAGAGGCTGACACAAAGAACAAGGCAAAACGTGGATCTCTGGGCTCAATGAAACTCGATACCGTTGTCACTGCAAATGTCGACGAGTGGAAGTGGGACTTTTAGTCAAAGAGAGCATTATCTATACTTCGCATTTGAGAACCGAACAATAGTGGTGTGTTTTAATTAAAGAAATAACTTAAGCAAATCAAATATTTCTTGCAGCGTGCTGTTAACTAAGAATTAACCTGCCAATTTGAAAAAGTGTGCCGCAAGCTTTGCACAAAGGGAATGACTCTCAGAGTCCACAGAAGATGCGCGCTTCACTAAAATGTTTTGGTCTACATTCTTCAGGTGCTGTTGACTATGTCAACAGCAGGCTCCCAGCAGACCAATGGTCAGACTGAGCGCGTGAATCGCGTCGTTGAAGACGTTCCTTGCAGCGTCTGCGCAGAGGCGCCGAAGCGCTGGAGCACTATGTTGGCTTTCGCGCTGAATAATGCAGTGCATTCATCTACCGACAATACGATGTTTTACGTGAGCGGGCTTGTAAATCTTTGCGTTCTGCTGACGTCGCCATCCCATGTAACAGGGCTTGGCGGAGGAGGAATAACCGAGCGGCTAGCTGATGTCAGCCCCCACACCGTGCGTGAAAAGTTGGAGACTTCCTTTTTACCAGACTAAGTGTCTTACGACAAGTTCGCGATATGACGGCTGAAAGCCAAGATATGCAGAAGGAATATGCAGATAGAAAAGGAAGAAATATTGAATACATTGAGGTCAGAGATCTGGTTTTATCAAATGCTACAAACCTTCCTGCATATGCAGTGCCTGTTGTCTTTAAGACGAAACGCCGTCGAAGGTCTATCAAACCTTTAAGGTCGTAGCCAAGCGAGGCCTTACGTATACGATTAATCTTTCGAGAAAGATAGTGATTTATGTGGGTTTGCTCAAGCCGTACCGGGATCCGGCGCGAGCGAACGCATAAGCTTTGGCGGCGGAGCGGCACCCAAAAGCGCTCGGTCACCCAGAAATTAGACCAGCAACTCGTTCTGATCACATAGAGCAACACCTTCCGGATCAACAGCGCAAGGCGCTCCACCGTCGTACGAAGTGACGTATTCGGCTGCTTGACGGCTAGGAGCCGGTCCAATAGAGCACGATAGTCCTCACACGAGGCAGTCGGTGCACAAAGTTTTCCAGACTCTCGTGGTCTTCCGCACAGAGTAGGCGACTTCGAAGAGGTGCTCGGCAAGTGCTGATGACGCCGAACTTTGTCCTCCAACACTCGAAGAGCATCGCGAGTTACCGGACGGCGATCGATCAAATCGTCATCGTCCGTCGCCGACTCTTCTCGATGAGAATGGTGGTGGCGTCCACTACTATGTGGAACGCCTTATGGGTCGACGTCGTTCACAGGGTCGAACCCAATATCTTGTGAAGTGGCGGGAATACCCAAACTACGAGTACTCGTGAACGTTTAAGATGTCCATTGTCTATACGTCGTGAGCGCTTATGATCAGAAGGATCATGACGTTTCGCGACTTCTTGCGTACCGCGCTTCTCGGTAGTAGCTCGGTAAGCCGGAGAGCCATGAGCTGCTGTTGTCGTAGACTCACCCGTGTGAGAAACCACAAAGCTTGCGGGGGCGTTATGGATAGTTCCATATGTCACAGGGTGACAATACGCAGGAAGTTGGCGCTGCGCCCTGAGTTTGGCAAACTCAAATTAAGATGGCGATCGACGCGCACGTCCACTTCCTTGAGCTTCGCTGTAAGGCAACAGCGAACAAAGATTGTGGTGTCGCTGTACCCATCGCTCAAAGAGCTCAACGCCATCTGCAGCGCAAGCACCACAGGGATGGTCCGCATTACAGAAATCCTTTTTGAGCTCGAAGTTGAGCGCCGTACCGATCCATCGGAATCCCTTTGGGTTTCAGAAAGCAAGTTCGCAGAGCTTACCGCTGATCAAGCTCAGCTTGTGTAGTGGCCGGAGGCCGACTTCGTAGACGACTAACGATCGAGTGGCGTCTTTCGCTTCAGTAGCGGGATCTGCCGTGCGGAAGCCGAACTCCATACGAGGGTCTAAGACCGAATCTGGATACAGCGCAGGAGAGTCGCCCTGTGGGCAGCCTTCAATTGCTGCTACTGCGCCTCGTCGAGGCGATTGATGATGATACTACTTCCCCGGAAGCCGAGAGTTCGGGGAACGGACACGGTGACCGCAGAGTTTAAGCTGGGCTCATGGAGTGTCCATCTCGTTATCGACTTGTTTCAAGTTCCTCTAACTCCCCGATTAGGAACTCCTTCGCCCGGGCCGGGCGCAGTGTGTTGCGCTCAGTTGCCGAGGGCGTGGGATGTGCTTCCCGTGAAGCCGCGGACGCACTGTCCGGAGATGCATCCTGTGCAGAAGAAGAAAAAGGCTTTGCCTGCGGGCGCTTTCGCTACCTCGTATGAGGCGACCGTTGAATGTGCATTGGGGTTATTGTCAATTTTAATTGGGGATGTTGTAACTGCAGCGCGGCTGCCGTTGCTTAGCCCTTGAGGAAGGGTAATTTAGGTTACCGACCTTTCGTTTTTTACAAGAACCAATACGAGTGTAGCGGATCGCAATCTGCTACCTCCAAGAGTAGTTA